CTCTACCCACACAACCCAAAAAAAAAAAAAAAAAAAAAAAAGAAAGAAAAGTCTTCTGAGAGAGGAAGGACAATTCTTATCTGATCTTTCCTTCCTTTCCCTGTTTCAAATCAACCATCTAAATTTAAACACCAAATACAAATAATCATGAAAGGAAAGGGAAACATTTTTCCTAAGTAGGGACAGTGTATGAGTTGCAGAGAAAAATAATCCAAGGCTTTGGGTGAGCTCTGTGTATTGTGGCACCTTGCAGAAACTGTGACAGGAAGCCAGGAAGCAACCAGCACTTAAAGATAGTTGAGAAGTTCCTCAAAGTTCAGGTCAACGAAATATTTGCACTAATTTGAAGATTTATGGAGCTGGAGGCCAACTGAATGGTCTCTGAGTTAAAATGTTGCATGATAAATGGGTAGAATAACAAATAGAATGTGACTCAAGGTTACCTCCTTCCAGTCACATATATACTTGGACTGCCAGTGCCATTTAATGCCAACCACGAAAGGCTGGCGATGAAAGCAAGGAGTGTTGTTAGCAGGAAACACTGGAAGGGAAAAATGCAGGTATACCCTGTATTCCCTGCTGTTTTGCAAAAAATGGTCAAAGAGCTGTATCAGTGAGATGCCAGAAAAACCAACTAAAAAATTCCAATCAATTCCAAGTCCAGTTGCCAGGGAGGACAATTCCATTCATCATTTTATTAGTTATCCAATGGGAAAAAAGTCATTCCATCGAAATCTCTTTCCGAAAGTACTTGACTGTATTTAGTTTGTTCAAAGTAGGAAGTTTGATCAGATATTAGTGTATCCTACCCTGGATGTAGGATGGAGGAGCAATTTTTTTTTTTCCATTTTGTTTTAATTGGGGTGAGCAAAGATATATTCATCGCATTATGCCAGCATTGGAGCTGGATGAGCAGAAGCCTTGAGGGAAGCTCCATCTTAATGCAGCATGCATCAGGATAGGCCGAATCTGTCACTTAACCTCTCAGCCTTGGTTTATCCAAATGCAAAATGAAAACAATAAAACCTTTGCAGAACTAGGGAGACTATCTGTGAGATGCATGACATGGTGCTAAGTTTAACTAGGCGTTATGACTGAATATTATCCTCTGTTCAGATCAGTATCCTATGGAGCCCTGATTTATAACTCTTTGGGGACATAGAGTCCTTTGAGAATCTAATGAAAGCTGTGGAGTATGTAGTCTTTCCACCCTTGACCTCACCACCAGCCAGTCAAATTTATGCCTAAATTTGCCTGTGTTTTTGGCAGACTATAGGTCACTGAAGCCATTGGCTAATTCCATATTAATGAGTCCTGTATTAGCTGAATAAGAGTTGATAGTTTCTCTGGGAAAGGTAGAATTATAGGGTAAGGTGTGTATACTTTTTGGGTTGTAGGTAATTCTATGAAGCAATATGTACATGTATTTCATTTTACTTTGACAGTAACTATATTGCCTCATGTTTTAGAGTTAGTGGGGGGGGGAACACATAAAACCGGAAGTACTTATAAGAAAGAAAAATAGCACGTTATACATTTTTTGAAGACATAGTTCCCTGTTCGAAGTCTTGGCTAATAAAATGTCCTCTACTTTGACCTACACTGTAATTTTTCTTCTTTTTTATTGTTTGGCTCTGTCTGTACTTACATTTCCGCATAGATTTTCCTGTGGGAACTGAGATGAAAAATTAGAGGAGAAAGCGAACTTTGAGTCATCTCACTGTTCTTTAGCCCAGAATTCCCTTCCATAAAGTTCTGATGCGACTCACCGTTCTCCAGTAAAACCTGGCCGGCACATACATTTTAATTCAGTCTGGAACTCTGAGCAGTTGCCTCCGTTGTAGCAAGTGAGATTTGTCTGCTCATTCCCACAGACTGCTGAGGGTAATCTCCTGCGTCTGGAGAGATAAAAGCAACAGTCACAGCTGTTCATCTTGTTCCTTTCATTCAAGAAAATGTCTTTGAAAGTCCATATATGTAGCCCGTGCCAAGCTAATTAAGTAGTCGGGCTGGAGGAGCTACAGATGCTTAATTGTGCTGCATTATTCAAGAACCACTTTCTTCAGTAAAAAGCTCCTGCTGGAGGGGACCGTAACACGCAAGGCTATCCATCTTCCATTTCTACACAGTTTTCATTCGTGAGATAAGATCTATACTACCGGCTGGCAGTAAATTGAAGGTTGGAAAGTTCCTTGCTGTAGCTAGATTTGCTAATAAATCAACACAGGCCATAGGAAAATAGCATTTCTGCGAAGGGCAGGGAGGCAAGGACAACACCACGGAACCCAAGCACTTGTGTGGTGCCTCCGCTGTCTTGCAGAGCTGAACTGCAGTTGCCCTGCCAAGACTTGCTGTTCCTTATCTAATAATTCATAGCTTTGCAGAATGCAAGCCAAATGCTGTCCAGGAGGTTTGTACACAGCCGTCGATGGGAACCGTGTGTGAAATTCAGTGTGGCTCCTTTGCATAGTAACAAAATTTGCATTAAATAATCCCCATGAAGGCAGAACAGATCGCTAAAATTGAAGCAGAACTTGATTGTAAGACAAAAGTCCAGTGATTGGGAGGGACTGAAGTTTTGAAAACTTTTGGACGTTGCTCAGATCTTTGACCCACTGTGTACGCGTGTGTTATTAGATACATAGGGGTTTTACAATGTTTATGAAAAAATAAAAGTGTGAGTTATTCTGGTACAAAAATTTTTTGAGACCCATGCATAGTTTTTTCTTCCTATGCATTTCCGTAAACCTTTTGAAGACCTCCTGTATACAATAATTATTCAGAAAATGTACAACGACTTGGATTTTGTCCCGCCATGTGTGCTACGGCAAATATGGAGAAGCCAGCTTGTATGATGCTGTGTATGTCTTTGCCCACAACAATGAATCACTGGAGTGGTGGTTGGGGGCGCTGGACTCCCACATGGCTGACTGTGGTTCAAGTCCCTTGAACCACAGCTAGCTTTCTTGCTTTCCCTCTCTCTCTTTCTCTGTCCCACTCTGGTCAAATTAAAATAAATAAATAAAGTTAAATAAGATCATTCTTAAAAAAAAAAAAGGAACTATCATAATGATTTTTAAAAAGAGCTGAAAAAATGTCAACCAGCTTTGAAAGGTCAATTAGCATTGCAAATATGAAGCTTTGTGTACATCTTTGGTTTAATAAACAATTCTTGAATCTCATTAGAAGGTACTTTTGAGAACTTTAGTCTTTGAGACTGTGACTTTGATGAATTAGTCAGAAAAAAATCTGGAGCACTAGTTAATAGAACATGCATGTTTATTATCTAAAATCACTGTAGGATACTCTTGATTGGATTCTGAAATTCTCTTGCCTTTAAATGGGCAGTTTACCTGGCAAAGAACAATTATGGGAAGTAATTACTGGAATGTCAACACTTAGCACTTGTCACTGTCCCTTGTCTTCACAGGCTCTGAACAGTAATAAATGATACAGAGAAACACACACCAACTTCCAATACATACAGCTACATGCTATGTCTGCTAGGAGGCTCATACGATTAAGGTATCACCTCTGAATTAGGGTAATAGCTACAGGCTGCCAACTCCTGTCCAAGTGTTCTGAACAAAATCCTAGAATGTATTACTTGTTAATAATAATTTTTCCTCCCCATAATGACTCAGGTGTATTTAGTAAATTTAAAGTAGTGTAAGTTGTAGAAACAACAATGACTTCTGCTTATCAGGAAATACTAAAGCAATGTGACTTAAAAGGAAAATATTCTTTTTTTAAAAAAAATTATATATAAATATGTAATATATATTTAGTTTTGCGATAGGGCATGTGCACTTGCTGGAGAGGAACGGATCAAGAGAGAGAGAGGGAAAATGAGAAATCCCCCTAGGGAGGATGGCCATACCACTTTCCCTTCTTCTCCATTCTCCTTTCAGAATTTTGGGTGCCTGCGTACATATGCTCAGCATTGTATTTTAAAAAGAGGTATTTGCCTTAAGGCATGTGGACGTGCCAGAGAGAGAGACAGAGACAGTGAGAGGGAAAGTGAGAAATCACACTCCAGCGAGGATGGCCACACCACAATCCCTTCTCCTTATTCTCCTCCCAGGATCTTGGGCACATGTACATGTGTGCTGGTGTGATTCTCAAGCCACTGGGTCTAGGACTTGAGCCATGGTTGTTGGCATGTTTTTCAAGCTGCTGAGACTCAAACTACACAGTCTGCCATGTGTGAACAAGCCACATTACCCACCATGTCACTGGCATATTAGTTCAGGTTACAACCTTCATTTTATGTCCACTTTTATAGTTTTAGACAAAAAATTGTGAAATATTTTGAAATGGGCAAAAGAGATGACTAGGTATTCTTAATTAAATGCTGACTTCTAGTTATATAAAGGACCTTCTAAAATTACCCATTTTTATAGTGTTGTACACTTAGATTTTCTTTCTTACGCTCTATAACAACTCTGTAGGGTATAGAAAATGGTATTAATGCCAATGAATACTGTTCACTGAAATGTAAATAAATTTCTAGAGATACAATTGATCATTATGCTGTGAGAAAGGTATTTCAACACTAATTATATTGCCCTATAGGATGTTGAACAGCTTAGCATTTCGTAGTAAATTTATTTCTTCACTCTTGTGTGAATATTCTTAGATTGTCCTTTGAACTGGTTTCCATATCTTACTAGTTCTCTCATTAAGTAATGATAAATAAAATCATTGAATATTTCATTTTATCTGAAAGTTATAATTTCACTTTTTTTTTTTTTTTGGATAGGTTTTTCCATAGGGCGCATGTGCTCGCCAGAAAGACGGAGAGAGACAGAGAGACAGAAAATGAGAAATCACCCCCAAGGGCGGATGGCCATACCACAATTCCTTCTCCTCCATTCTCCTCTTGGTATCTTGGGAACACATGCACATGCACCCAGCGTGAGTTTAAGCTACTGGGTCCAGGACTCGAACCACGGTCAACTACATGGGAGTCCAGTGACATAGCCATTGCGCTAACTGCTGGTCCCACAATTTCACCTTTTTAAAGTTCTACTTTAATGTAGCCATTTCAGGATTTTACAATATTTAACCTGCTTGAAATAACCCAGGGTATTATTTTATGGTATTATTTTAGGTAATTATTTTAGAAGGTATTATTTTAGAAGTCATTCCTTCTCTAATCATGTTAAAATTTATCTTTTGCATTTATTGAGACCTTAAGGCTGTCAGACACTGGGGCTGTAGTTCATGAAACGTATTTTTGTTTGTTTGTTTTTCTTTTTTAAAAAAACAACTATTTATTTTAATTAATTAATTTATTTATTTTAAAATTTTGACCAGAGAAGAAAGTGGGGAAGTGAAGCCACCAGGTCTGGGACTTAAAACGTGGTCAGCCATGTGGGAGTGTCCAATGCCTCAATCACCATGCCACCTGCTAGCACCCTCATGAAACATAGTTTAACCAAGATGTCTGAGAAAACATTTTGCTTAAAGTCTGGTTGAGACACTGCCATTCCTATTTGTATGACATCCCAACTGATGGTTGTGATGAAAGTGACCCAATTCAGGCCTGTTCAGTACAGCGTACATGTGTACCTTAAGAAGAGAGCTTCCTGAGCTGATCCTATGGCCTGATGCTTAAGACACCTGGATCGCACATGGAAGAATATGTAGTTCAAATACCATCTCCTGCTAAACATGTATGTGCATGCCCAAAATCTTAAAAGAAGGGAGAGATGGAGGAGAAGGGATTGTGGTGTGAACGTGCCACATTGAGGAATGATTTCTCCCTTTTCCTCTCTCTCTCTCTCTCTCTCTCGTGTGCACACATACCTTCTGGCCAAGTTTAAAGAAGAAGAGAGCTTTCTGACTAGACAAAGAAAATGTAGAACATAGCTCTGAAAAACACATTTCAGACTTTTTACTCACCTGCAGAATTTCCCTGTAAAATTCCCAGAACAGAGGCAAGTGTAGCCATTAGCATTACTAATGCAGGTGGCTCCGTTTGCACACCGGTGACTCCGGCAGTTGTCTAGTTCCTCTTCACAGTTCACACCGGCATATCCCTGCTCACACCTGCAGTGGTAGGCTGCAACGCCATCAGAGCAGTTGCCATGGATACAGGGGTTGGAAAGGCATTCATTGATGTTGCGTTCACAGTTCATCCCTGACCATCCCAAGGGACAGGAGCAGTGGTAGGAGCTATAGATGTCCTCGCAGTCCCCTCCGTGCAAGCAGGGACTGGAGTTGCAGGCATTTAACTGCAAGCAGCCAGTCACCACAGGCTTTGTAGAGATTTTGAGAAACTGTTCTTTCTGAGGCTTAGAAGTAAAACCATGAACATTTTCAAAATAAGAGAGATAAATGCCTCCAATTCCTATTGTACTTAGACATCCTTGAGGGCCCTTCATATTGTCCACCGCTCGGCCCCCCACATAAATGTTTGTATCACCCTTCAGAAAGCTGAGGCTTCCGGTAGCCACTGCACTGGTCACAGAAGGTGTCTGGTTGTCCACTTCCATTTGCCACCTGGCGACCTGGGCCAGCGGGTCTGTCATGGAAAGAGCCACTTGGTGCCACGTGCCATCGCTCACTGACCGCCGGCTTGTCAGGCTCAGTGTGTTCAAACTGTTGCCACTTTGCAGTTGAAAAGACAATCTGGAATCTTGAATGCTAATATTAAGAAATTCAGGCTCTTTTTCTGCATGGAGTATCACCATGTTTGCATCCCTTGTTCTGAAGCCGAGTGTGATGTTGGTGAGTTCTCTGGTAATATTCCCATTGCTTCTGAATACTATTTCACTGCTTTGTCCATTAAAAACAGCATTTGCAATACCTAAAGAGAGAAGGCAATACTAATGAACAGCTATTAAATCTAGTCTTGGCTTAATGACCATTGTTTTAGGCATGCTAGGGTCTATGCTTTTGGCTTTTATGTTATTTCTAATTCAGGACTCTTGAGTATAGGAATTATAGTTATCTTCATTTTATGGGAGAGGAAATTGAGACTCACAGGTATTATGTAATTTGCTCATGGTCATGTGACTTTAACAAAAGCCGGAATGTCAAGTCTGGATGGTCTGATACCAACCCGAGCCAGGCACTTCTTTTCCATTGAAGTCATTATGCATATCAAGGTCTATTTTGCCTTTGCTCCCACAAATAGAGCTTTGATCATCTAGTTTATACATAAAGAAGATGATCACAAAGAATCACAAATCTACCTGTGGTGACACAGAAAATTGAAAGTGGAATCTGGCTTCTGATTAATGGAATCAGTAGGCAGTTAAAAGAAGCAGTCTGGGGCCAATCTGTGGCATGGTGGTTGGGGCAGCTGGATCCCATAAGGCAGACAGTGCAGTTCGAGTCCCAGACCCAGTAGCTTGTAAAAACAAGCTGGGAGCATGCACATGGATGCCCAACATCCTGAAAGGAAAAGAAATGGAGATGAGATTGTGGCGTGACCACCCTCCATGGAAGGGGATGTTTCCTCACTGTCTTTCTTGCTCTTTTTCTCTCTGTCTCTCTCCAACAAGTGTATGTACCCTCTAGCAAAATTAGAAAAAAAAAAAGTAGCAATTCAAATGACTGGCAGAATTCCAGTTAGGTGCCAAGCTACCAACTCTGTACCTATACCTAAGTAGCTTCTGGTGGATGGAAAAAATAGATACCCATATCAGTAGCTTTCATTGTATGCCCACATACTGTACGTGAGCACAACATTTTGGGGCAGTCTCCTTGCATTTCTCTAATCAAAGTCCTTTTCCTGTTGTGCAAGATCATTAATTCACAGCTTGTCCCATCTAAAACATCTAACCCTATCTCAGCTTATGAGTCACTGTGATACTTTCTTGAGAAAACAGAAGAAATAGGAATTGCACCAGCTCTCCAGTAAATCCGTAAGCCATACGGAATCTGGATTCTTGCTCTCATGCTACAATGGAGGCACTGTCCATACTCCTGTCCAAAGTCAGCCCGTTCAGGCAAGCACTGGGTCCCATTCACTTCACATGCTGAAGCCGTGATTCCTACGTGTATCCTTTTTTCTGTTCTGCAACATTATTTTCCCTCCCTTTCGACTGTTTCCCATCAGTCCACAAATATACTGTAATTGTTCAGACCTCAAAAAATAACACTCCCGTAAGACCCCAAAGCACTACCCTGACATTCCCCTCCCACAGCTTTCTTGTTTCTCTAGTCTCCAGTAAAACTCCTAATGGTTTAGCATTCTCCTCGCCACTTTCTCAGCCCTGTTGTCTCCATGTGCTCTTTAGTATATGCCGCTCAAGCTTCTGTCCCAGTCACTCCACCGAAACCTCTCTTGTCCAGGTCACAGTGACCTCGAAGTACTTAAGCTGTGGTCAGCTCTTTCCTCACTTGTCAGCAGCAGCTGCCCTTCCAGCACTGTCGTCACCTATGTGTTGGGCACCACACCCAGCCACCACCTGCTTTCTGTCGACTAGTTACTTCTTTGTGTCTCTGCTGTTCTCTGCAGATCTATGGAATAATCACTCTATCTTCAGACCTCTGTCAGATGCCCTCGCATCTATCACATCTTAAAAGAAATCTCAAGTTCTAAACACACCTGTAAGAGTCTACATGGGGCCAGCAGGTGGCGTGGTGGTTGAGGTGCTGGACTCTTACATGGCAGACCATAGTATGAATCCCAGACCTGTCGACTTGCTTTCTCACTTTCCCCTTTCTCACTCTGTCTCTCTCTAGTCAAATAATAATAATGATGATAACAATAATAATAATAGATTATTCTAAAATTTAAAAACAAAAACAAAACAAAAAACTCACCTTTAAGGGAAGAAAAAAAGAGTCTACATTATGATCTGGGGCCAGCAAATGGCATGCTGATTAAGGTGCCAGATTCCCACATGGCCAACTACAGCTTGAGTACCAGACCTGGCAACTTGGTTTCTTGTTTTCTCTCTCTTTCTCAGCTTGAGTACCGGACCTGGCAACTTGGTTTCTTGTTTTCTCTCTCTTTCTCTCTCTCTCCCCCTCACTCTCTCTCTCTCTGGTGAGTGTGTGTGCCCTGTAACAAATTTTTAAAAAATAATAATTATGAATAACATTGAGCAGATAAATTTTTTTCTTTTGGAGAGAGATTTTTGCTATAGGATATGTGTGCTCACCAGACAGACAGAGAGAGACAGAGAGACAGAAAGCGAGAAATCACACCCCAGCGGGGATGGCCATGCCACAATCCCTTCTCCTCCATGCTCCTCTCGGGATCTTGGGCACACATGCACATGTGCCCGGCGTGTGTTTAAGCCACCAGATCTGGGACTCAAATCGCAGTCGGCTACATGGGAATTCCGCGACATAGCCATTACGCCAACTGCTGGTCCTAGAACAGATAATTATTTTAAAATTCAATATCTACATGATTTGAGTCCTGATGAGCGCTCCAGCTGCAGTTCCTACCATGCCCTCCTTCATGTGCCACAGCCACAGAATCCTCTTGCCATTCCTACTCTTCCTCACTGTTAATATTTGTTCCATGGGCCAGGAGGTGGTGTGGTGGTTAAGGGTGCTAGACTCCCACCAGGAGTCCACTCTGGCCGACCAGGGTTTGAGTCCCAGATCTGATGACTTGCTTTCTCACTTTCTCTTTCTGTTTCTCTCTTTTTCATTCTATCTTTCTCTGTTCAAAATTAAAATAGTAAATAAATAAATAAAGTCAAATAAAAGAATTCTTTTAAAAAATATCTGTTCCTATGTTCCTGCTCTCAGAAGCAGTCCCTGACTAAGTTCAAATAGCTGCCTCTTTGCCTCTACTCCCTACCCCATTACTGTGCTTTTTTTTTTTCATAGTTCTTATTACTATCTGAAATTGTGTTGCTTATTGGCATCTTTGTTCCTTTCACTGTCTTTCTGTACTAGACCATGAGATTTATGAGATCTGGAATCTTCTTGTCCAGGTTACACTAAGGCCTTGTGCCAAGAACACTGATGTGTAGCAGGTGCTCAGTAAATATCCTCAAATGAATACTCTATAAAAACAACTCCTTCATCTTTCATTCTAGAAAGCGAGGTAGTAGTTAGAAACTATAGCAGGAGAAAACTTAAGTGTATCATTCAAGTGTATTGTCAGACTGGATTAAAATTTCACTTCTTTTTATTGTTTTTGATTGTTGTATTTCAGCCATGGTTGCAATGGGAGTTATAAAGGTAAAGAGCAACAAGGGTCTCATTGCATGTTTCTAAGTAAAAGCTGACATGACAAATCTCATCAGCTCTCTAACTCCTAAAGGAAGAACATTGTACTGTTATATAAATACATTTTATTAACACTGCTAAGGATTCAGAACTCACTTTTTATGATCTGGGTAAAAACCTCAATATACCCAACAACATTTATACCTCCCCTTTTCTTCAGAGAATGTTACCATTATAGGGGACAACTCTATAATGTAGTGGGTTGTTCTATTAGACCTATTCGTCTCAATATATTTCACTTGGAAAGAAAATATAGTAAGGTCATAAAATCACATAAAATTAAAAGTATACAAAGTAACAAAAGTAATTTCTAGGGTTCATCCAATGCCTATCATAAACCTCCTGGTGATTTACATTCTCTCTCTTCACTAAGATAAGTCAAATTTACAGAAGAGTTCTCCTGGCAGTTTTTGAGATACTGGAGCAGACTTTCTACTCTTTCTGTAGCAGCAATGCTGTAGCAGCAAAGATTTGCTGCATTTATTTTGACGCATGTGTGTCCACATCCTAAACTGCTTATGCGTAGACTAGCAGACAGTGTGCATCCGGTTATTGCTCCTGGATATCACTCTTTCTAGAAATCCTATTTGTTTTTCCTGTGAAAATGTTCGAAATGGTTTAAAACCCTTTGTAGAACACCCCTAGTTCCAATTACTTTAGTATTTTTATCAAAAGATTAACAATAAAAGAAATAAGTTTTTGAAACAGGTAATTCAGAGGTAGAACAATAGAAAAGATTGAATTTAAAATTCTGTGCCACAATAGAGGTTAGATTATATTTTTTATGCCAACTCATCATGTTTTCTCTCTCTATGTAGTATATCTTTCTTTTTAACAAAGAATTAATTTATTTCACTTTATTTATTATTATTACTATTTAATTTGCTATGGGGCATATGCACTTACCAGAGAAATACAAAGAGAGAGAGAAAGAGAGAGAAGAGAGAGAGGGAGGGAAAGCAAGCTGACAGGTCTAGGACTCCAAACATAGTCACCCATGTGGGAGTCTGGGGTCTTACCTACCATGCCATGTGCTGGCTCCTCTTTTATTTTTATTAACAGCTTCATTACTGATTTTTATCTATCTGGTTCCTTACTTTGATGTTCTTGATTAGTCTAATTAATGGCTTATCAAATGTGTTTATTCTCTCAAAAAATAGCTTTTTGTTTTGTTAATATTTTATATAGTTCTTTTATTCTCTATTTCATTTATTTCAACTCTAATCTTTACTACTTGTTTTCTTTTATTTACTTATTTTTTGTTGTTGTTATTGTTACTTTTCTAGTTCCTTAAGATGCAATGGTAAGTTATTTATTTTCTACCTTTCTCTTTTTCTTTTGTGAGCACTAATGGCTATAAACTTGCCTCTTAATGTTTTCACTGTGTCCCAAAGGTAATAGAGAGTAGTGTGTTCATTATCATTGATTCAATGAATCTTTTGACTTCAGACTTAATTTTTTTTAGTAGTTTAAAAGGCATTCAGGAGTATTTTGTTTCAATATTTTGCATATTTTTAAGGACTCTTTCTGCTGTTGATTTCAAGTTTAATTCTATTGTGGTCAAAGATGTTGGGTATAATTTCTATACTTTTAAGTTGCTAGAGGCTTATTTTATGGTCTAGTATGTGGTCAAGCTTTGAAAATCTTCCATGTGGAAATGAGAAAAAAACATATTCCATAGTTGCTGGATGGAATGTTCTATATATGTCAGGTCCATTTGGCTTTTATCAGTTAGTTCCTGAGTTTCTTTGTTTCTTTTTTATCTAGATAATCTGCCCAGTGGTGACAGTGGTGTGTTGAAATCTCCAACAATTAGCATATTGGATCTATATCTCCCTTTAGATCCAGCAGTCTTTCTTTTACATATTTGGGTGTCCTGGCATTGGGTGCATAAATATTTATAATTATCATATCTTCTTTATGAATGAATCCTTTTAGAACAATGTAGTGTCCTCCTTTGTCTATATTTATGCTTTTTATCCTAAAGTCTATTTTATCTGATATTGATATTGCAAGTCCTGCCTTCTTTTTCATTTGCATGAAATGAATTTTCCCAGTCCTTCACTTTCAGTCTCTATATATCTTTGTCAATGAGATGCATAGTATATATTTCTTAAATGTGAAGCATGTAAGTATATACAGTCATGTGCTGCATGAAGACAGTTCTCTCAATGATAGATGGACCACATATATAGAGAATATAGACCAGGTGTGTAGCAGGCTGCCCCACCCAGGTTTGTGTAAGCCCTCTCTGTGACATTTTCACCATGGAAAAATGTCCAAATGACACATTTGTCAGGACGTATCTCCATCGTTAAGTGACACATGATTGTATATTCTTCTAGCAACTCCCCCCTCAAGTACACACACACACACACACACACACACACACACACTGCAATGTATTGCACATAAATGTTTTAAGATATAGAAATACAAAAGTAAATATATTCCTCTCTTTTCCTCAGTTACTTGGGAACCCAGTCTAAATATAATATTTCTGCTACAGACCTTAGGCTGGTCTATTCTCTGTTTTCATTGCATTATTTTAATGCAGTGTTTTCTAAGGTATTTTATGTTTTTTTTTTTTTTTTTTTTTGTTGTTGTTATTGTTGTAAGTGGATGATTTGCTTAAGGCCTAAATCAGGTAAGTGAAAACAGTGAGTTAATCTGAAGAAAAATAATAAGTCCATTTATTTAACAAATGTTTATTGATGTCCAAGTATGGCACTGGTCTAAGAGCTAACCGCAATATGAGAAACTCATAGAACATTTCCCTGCCTTGTGAAACTTACATTCTGGTGCAGAAAGCTATGGTGAACAAATGAACAAATCTAGTTGGCCAGTAACAGAATGGTAGCTGGTGGGGAAATTTTGGCAATGAGGAAATGATGGTATGCTGTCTGTTTTTATAAAAAAATCGATGATGCTAGGGTGTGAGATAAAAATTTTCGGAACAAATCTTTGAAT